TATTTTATGTGTATGAGTGTATTGCCTGCATGTATGTGAGTGCACCCTTATCGTTCAGTGCTACGGAGGTCAGAAGAGGGCATCGGATTCCCCTGGAACTGGAGTTAAGGATGGTTCGTAGCTGCCATGTGGGTGCTGGGAATTGAACCCAGGTCCTCTGCAAGAGCAGTGAGTGCTCTTAGCCTCTGAGCCATCTCTCCAGCACCCCAGTTTCATATTTTGAGACCCCGTCTCAATAAGGTGGAGAGTGATTGAGGAAGAAACCCAACACCAGCTTCTGGCTTCCACACACATGCACAGGTGAATGTATCCACATAGACTTACACACATATGCAGATACACAGACAGACAGACAGACACAGACACACACACACACGTTTTCTAAGATTCAACTATAATTTTTTTTTCTTTTGAGGCAGGGTCTCCCTGTAGCCCCAACCACTCCTGGCTTCATCCATGTTCTTATAGGCATTTTCTTTAAATATTTCTTTAGTTTAAAATTAGCCGGGCACGCCTTTAGTCCCAGCACTTGGGAGGCTGAGGCAAGCAGATCTCTGTGAGTTCAAGGCCAGCCTGGTCTACATAGCAAGTTCCAGGCCAGCTGGGGCTACAAGGAGACCCTGTCTCAAAAAAAAAGACCCCCCCTCCAAAAAAAAAAAACTTATGTATCCATATATGGGCCTTGAGTATATGTGTACAATAAGTGTGTGCCTGTGCCTATGGGGCCAGAAGAAGGCATAAGATCCCCTATGACAGGAGTTGTAGGGGGTTATGAGCCATTCAGCATGGGTAATGGGAACCAAACTCAGGTCCTCTGGAGGAGTAGCAAGTGCTCTTAATCACTGAGCCGTTGCTCTAGCCCAATTATAGTCATTTATTGTTTCTTTAGTGAATGAGATACCATACAATGGTAAATCTGTCTTTGGAACTTATAGGGTATCGGAGCAGAACTTGGAAATTTGGAAATACAAATATGTAAGAAGCCATTTTGTGTCTTTATATTGCTTATGTTCAGTCTTAAGCAGATTTTGTAATAGTTAAGAACTTTTATACTTAAAAACATTATAGTGACTTTGAGTGCTGGGTGTGGTGGCACATGCCTTTAATCCCAGCACTTGGGAGGCAGAGGCAGGCGGATCTCTGTGAGTTCCAGGCCAGCCTGGTCTACATAGAGAGTTCCAGGCCAGCTGGGGTTACAGAGAGACCCTGTCTCAAAAAGACCAATCAACCAACCAACAAACAAAACAAAACAAAAAACAAACCAAAAACCATGGTAGTGACTTTTAAAGAAAACAGGTATTTGTCTGGATCCACTGGATAACATTACTGTGAGGCTTGGTACATGAGATGTATTTCTGCATCGAAAACTGTATTGTAAAATGTTAAATCAGGGCTGACAAGATGGCTTAGTGGGTTAAGGCACTGGTCATCAGGCTTGACAACCTGAGTTTGATTCGTGGTGGAAGGAGAGATCCTACTTTACAAGGTGCACTCAGATTTCCACCTTCATGTATGGCACATGTACACCCCTACACATACGTGTGCAAAATAAATAAATAAATAAATGTAAGGATACTCATTCAAGTAAAGCATTAATATAGGAAGGATAGTGTTAAAATGTTCTAAATGCTAGTCAATAAATATGTTGCCATCATTTCATGATTTTCCATCTTGTATTAACATTTTCCATGAAAGAATATTAACCATGGGTAATGCCATTCTATCTGAATAATATTGTCATACAGTGTTTTAAGTTTGGTGTTAGTAACTACTGTAAGTTTTAGAAAATGGGTAGAAACATTAGGGAAGTATGAAATTGGTATCCCTATAAGAATCTACAGAAGAGTTCTAACCTTGATACTTTTCCAAAGGCCCTCACAGGTTGCTTTGATATTTAAGGGGCTGATTTTATTGAATGTATGAGATAGAAAAGTTCAGTAACACAGTTCTTAGTATTTCTGTTGCAGTAGCCAGCTAGCTGTCCAATTAGTGCTGATTGTGGTGAGAGTGATTATGATCTTGGTCCAGGAGGAACTTGACTCAAACTATCATTTCACTCCACAAAGACCACTGAGCAACTATTTGATGATAATGACTTTAAATCACTCACACCCATACCACGTGTGAGCTAATAACTTGGAGGTGAGAAGCTCCATTTCACATTGTCAGTCTCTAGGGACTTTCAATCACTCATCTTTTCTCTAAGTGCCTTAAATCTTGTGTAGTTTCAGACTTAAATTCCAACATTCTCAGTGATAAGAGAGAGCTGGGATAAGAATAGATAGTAAAGCCTCTAGGAAAGCTCTACAAATTTATTGGCAGTAATGAACTACACAGTGAAACATCAAAGCAAATGTGTTTTGTCACTTAGAAGCCTGATTGAGTATTAAGTTTTCTTTGAAATAGTTTGAGAATTGCTTGAAATGATGAGAGAAGATGGGGCGGGGGAGCAGAGGGAGGGAAGGAGGCAACAAAATATCTTTTGTATAAAATCTTCTGACAGAACTTGTAACTGTTTCTTCTATGGCAGAATATTTGGTACCACTGATATACAGGTTAAATTGCAGTAGCTGTTAAAATGAATTGGATTCCACCAAATAACATCAAGGCCTTAATGAAGACTGTCTGCTCCTTTCCTATTTTAATTTTCAGGGCTTGTGCTTGTCTGGTGGTAGATTGTACAGTCTCTGCAGACTCTGAAGACTCCCAGGCAGGGTTTGCTTTCGTGGTAGATGCAGATAATAGCTCTGTAAGCCCCAAGATCTCTTTTCTAAACTTGCAGTTCTTCGGTCTTTATTTCCCAAAGAAAACAGAATGCTTGGATAACTTGTACTCCTGGTATCTTGGCAGCTGCATTAATGTCTCCTTTTATCTCTTCTCCCTCTTATGCTTCATGTTCTCAAGCTTCATATTCTTGGGGTACTATGAGGGAGTGTTAGCTCCCAGACCACCAGTCGTCTGTTTTAGAAAAGCTTGGACAAGTAATTTAGGAAATATCTCTGGGGATGGGGGTGGCAGGCTAAGCACAGCTAGTCACACTGTACTTTGACATATGAACACAGAATGATAATTTACAGTCAGTGTTTTCCCACCATATAAAAATAAAACTCTTTGATGTTGAGAAGTCTCAGAATTGCTTAAATAAATTTCTTTTGGGTTTAGTAGTTGGCTATATTGTTGAGTTTTAAATTTGTTCATAGGGCGAGTGCTTCTTTTCTTTGTTTTTTTTTGGGGGGGGGCGGTTAGGAACCACCTTACTTGTTTGCACAGCACTTAGATCAAGAAAATCTCAGAGTAGGATTAGAGCTCGTTTTAAAACCCAGAGTCCTTGCCTAACGTGGTGGCACTCACCTTTAGTGCCAGCACTCAGGAGGCAGAGGCAAGCAGATCTCTGTGAGTTCAAGGCCAGCCTGGTCTACATAGTGAGTTCTTGGCCAGCCAGGGCTATACAGTGACCCTGTCAAAAAGAAAAAGAAAAAAAGCTGCATCCCTTCCATCTGCCCTTATTCTTTTCTCATCATCAGCTTGTTAATACAAACACTTTCCATCTCTTGAGCCAAAGAAGAAATAGTGCTGGTTCTTTACAAGGTACAAGTTTAGTGCATTCAGGAGCACAGAAAGTGATGTTTAAAACTTTTTGATATTCTGAAGAACAGTTTGTTGAAGCATATAAAAAGTGACTCGGGAGATCATAGGTTGATACTTAAATGACGCTATTCTCCCTCTCCCTTTTTATTAATTCCAGACATGTCACACAGGATCTCTTAACCATTTGATCTGAGTAAAAAAGCTGGAAAGTCACAAAGATGTATTAGATACTAGTTTTGCTTTGGAGACTGGGTCTCGGGTTTTGTTTGGATGTAACAACCAGTTTGTGTCAGTGACTGAATTAAATGCTCATTGGTAATCTTTTCTGCTGTAGACCTTTCCAAAGTGAAACTGATGAGGTTTGATGATCCGTTGTTGGGGCCTCGACGAGTTCCAGTCCTAGGAAAAGAGTACTGTGAGAAGACTCTTATTTCCGAGCATGCTGTTTTCCATGTGGACCTTGTGAGCAAGAAAATTCACCTCACTGAGAATGGGCTGCGCACAGATATCGGTGATACAATTGTCTATCTGGTTCATTAAGCTCGCACATTGGAGACTGGTGTGGTTTCAAGGGATACATGTACTTTGAGAAACTTAAACTAGACATAAATAGACTTTATTTCTGTCAAATTCTGTATGAAATCATAATTATACCAATTCATCTTTGATTCCTAGATCTAATAAACTTGCTTTTTTCCATCTTTGGAAAAAAAGAGATACAATTTGTGTCATGTTTGTTATTTTTTTTGAGCAAATTACTGGTATTCCTTAGGAGTTTCCAATCTGTACACTAAAGTGTCAGGATACTTCCTTTTTGTTGTTTCAGGACAGGTCTCCCTGTGTAGCTCAGGCTAGCCAAGGATCTCATGATCTTCCTGACTGGCATTACAGGTGTGTCCACTATGCCCTGCTGTCTGTATGTTTTATTTATAAAGTATACTTTATGTTGTTTATGAAGGTAATGAGTTTCTCACATCTTTTTATAATGTGATATATCCATGTAAGGAGTCAGCTATACCTTTTCTTCAAAAAGAAAAAGATAAAAGTAAATTAGCTTATTTTTATTGCTGTTACTTATTTTTGTGAATGGTGTGTATGTGCAGATGTGTGTGCTGATGGTCATTCAGAGGCCACAGGAGCCTATCAGGTGTCCTGCCCTACCACTTTCTTCCTTATTCCCTTGAGACAGGGCCTCTCACTGATTGTCTCTAACCAGCCAGCTAGGCTGGCAGTTGACAAACCCCAGTGATTCTCCTGTCTTCACTCCCTCACAGCAGTGGGGGTCACAGGTTTGCATGGCCAGGCCCAGGTTTTATGAAAATTTACTATTATTATTGTGTGTGTGTGTATATGGGCTGGAGAGAGAGGGTGTGTCACAACAGGCATGTGGAGATTAGAGGACAACTTTGTAGAGTTGATTCTTTCCTCCTACCTTTATATGGGTCCCAGAAATTGAACTCAGGTCCCTAGGTGGGGCAAGTGCCTTTACCCACTGAGCCATCTTGCTGGTTCAGATGCCACAGTATGTTTTGTTTGTTTTACATATTTTTATTAAGATATTTATGTGTATGAGTATTATACTTGCATTTGTGTAAGTGCACTCATGTCATACAGTGCCATACACGGAAAACAGAAGAGGGTGTTGGATCCCCTGGACCTGGAGTTACAGATGGTTGTTAGCTGCCATGTGGGTGCTGGCATTCAAACCTGGGTCTTCTGCAAGAACAACTGGTGCTCTTAACCACTGAGCCATCCCTCCAGCTCTTTTTTAGCATTTTTTATGGGAATTTGAACTCTGGTCTTTATTACTTGTGTAGCAAGCAAGCCCTTTGTCCTCTTGTTCTTTTTTTGTATGTGTGTATTACGCTGGTGCACAAATAGGTGTGTGTGTGTGTGTGTGTGTGCGCGCGCGCGCACGTGTGCATGTATGCATGTGCATATGGAAGCCAGAGGTCAATGCCGAATACCTTTCTGAAAGACGAGTGCCTTTCTCAGTTGCTCTTCACCTTATCTTTGAGACAAGGTCTCTCCCTGAACCTGGAGCTCACAGATTTGGCTGGACTGGCTAATCAGTGAGCTCCAGTGATTTTCTTGTCTCTTCCTCCCCAGCATAGGGTTATAGATGCAAGCCACTGTGCCCAGCTTTTATGTGGATGCTGTGGACCAAGCTCAGTTCCCTCAGGCTTACATGGCAGCACTTTACTGACTGATCCATATCTCTAGACCCTAGTTCTAATTTTTTTTTTTTTTTCGGTCTTTTTGAGACAGGGTCTCCCTGTAGACCCAGCTGGCCTGGATTCACTATGGAGACCAGGCTTGCCTCAAACTCAGAGATCTGCCTGCCTCTGCCTCCCAAGTGCTGGGATTAAAGGCGTGTGCCACCATGCCCAGAATAATTCTATTTTTTTTTAAGGAAGGAATTTTCATGAGAATAGAGAAAAATAGGGGGGCTAGAGAGATGGCCCAGTGGTTAAGAGCACTGATTGCTCTTGCAGAGGACCTGGGTTTGATTCCCAGCACCTACATGATGGCTATTAACTCCAGTTTTAGGGGAATCCGATGCCTTCTTCTGACCTCCTTGGCATTGCATGACACTCACATACATGGAGGCAATACACTTATACATATAAGATAAAAATAATAAAAATTTAAAAAAACAGAGAAAGAGAAAATATTTTGACTTCACTATAACCACAAAAGATTTTGTATGTATAACAAGTCCTATATGACATTAAAACTTTACTATATCTAATTAACAGGTTTTTTTTTTTTTTTGTCCAGGCACAGTATCCAATAGCTTGTGATAATTTATTTCATCAATACCAAGTTTAAGCATTTTAAGAGAGGATTTTTTTTTTTCCTCCTAGAAATAAGGAGTTACCAGATTTGAGTCTAATTCAGTTTAAAGATCATGCTGCTTATATTATAAACCTAAACCTAATCTTTTATTCTTGTTGGAAAGCCTTACAGTGTACATCTGTCTTCACATAAGAAAAAGAAAATGTAAGGCATTGAGAAGCAGAGGAGAAAAAAATTTCTGTTTTTCATATGTTCAGTATGGGGCAAGGCCATTGTTGACAACTCTGAGGAGCCTGAATTCTAACCTTGAGGTCAGACCAGTGTCCCTTAGAATCATCCACTGCAGATCATGTTTCTGTGGCAGGCATCATGGCTCTGAGGTCAGACCAAGTTAGATTCTACTTCTTCTCTTTGTGACTTTGGTGATCCTGGCAGTTCCTCAGCTTTAGTTTCATTTGTAAAAGGAAACTAATAATGATACCTGTTCTGTAGGCTTATAGTGAGCAGATCAAATCTGATCTAGAAAAAATCATACATGGCACAAGACCTGGCCAACGGTAAGCCTTTGTTGGATGTTACTAGTGGATAATTGAAAATGTGTGAGGATGTATTGGCTTAAGACTGCTATAGGTTTTGTGTCCTTTGTATTGGTTCCTCCTGAGTGCTAGAACTAAAGGTGTGGGCAACCATGCCCTACCAGTATGTTTTCTTAAACACCTTAGGATCCAAAGCCCAGATAGATTTAGATTTTGTGGTCTTAATCTTTAGAATATTTCCTTTTTTCTTTTTTGACTTTCATAATAATGACATTTCTGAAGTCTGAGCCAGTTGTTAGTAGAATGCATCAGTCTGAAATTGTATTATTTTTCCATGGCTAGAATAAAAGACTTGGTGAGTCCTACATAGCAATGTTTCCTATTATACCACATTAGCATTAATATATTGTGGATTTATTCCATTCCTATGGTGGTTTTAAGCTTTATCACTTTGATTAAAAATAACTTCAATTTTCTCCACTAAAAAGACACACTTTTCCCTTTTGTAATCACCTTTCCATGTTTTGAGATTTAGGGTATATATGGTTGTGTACCCCTCCATTCACATGTTGAAATGTAACCCACACACTGATATTAGATGGGTTTGGGGCAAAGGTTACATTAGGTTCTGAGGGTTTTCCCCTCACAAATGGGGTTAGTGCTCCTGCAAAAGATGCATGAGAGAACTCTTGCCTTTCCATCTTGTGAAGATGCACTACTGGGAATGGAACTTCGTGGTGCAACAAGTGTGCTGGCTTATTTATCTCCGGAACTGAGCAATAGATACTTGTTTATGCACTACCAATCCATGATACGTTGTTACAGCAGGCCCATAGGACTGAACTGTTAGCAGTGGACCTTTACTAAGTGGTGGCATTCATGGATAATCTTTGTTGGTTATGACATCAGTGGTGGTTCTATGGTGAATTCTTAAAAAGCAATGAGATTATTGTTCTGTTTTTATTAGATACCCTGTAGAGACGAGGTTTCTTCTTCTTTTTGATATTCCCTTTAAACCTCTGCTTTGTCCTCTGTTACCATCGCTAGTTCTCTGAGTGGATCACATTTCCCTAAATTAACCAGTGCAGGCCCCATTCTGACTGGCTCCTTGTCCTTTTGTTATCTCCCCACCAGGCTTAGCGTATCTGTGCTTAAAAGCATAAGAAGCTCCCAGCTCACTTTGCATTTTCCTGAGTTAGGACTGGATTCAGTCTTTTTCCCCAAGAAACTCACTTCACTTCAGTAGAAAATAGTATTAATAAACTGGTATCTAAGTGCTTTTGTGCTCATTGATATCAAAGACACTACACTGCCTTTTACAGTCTTTACAGTGGACCAAGCTAAGTAGTGCTGGCTTTGTCTTACAAGCGCTTCCTCAAAGTTTAATCAAATTGGATAATTCAACTTTTGAAATATTATCTACCCATTTCTTAGATGAAGAAACCCAGACTTAGACTTACCAATCCACTTGACTTTGAGCAAGTTATTTAAATTTTCGGACTTGATTTCATAATTAGTTAAAAATATCACACAACTTTGTAATACACAGAAGCATGTCGTTTTCAAGCAATGCTTAGTTTTCTATTTTTATGCCAGGACATTAAGGTACTATATATGTAGATGAGTAACTGTTTCTATTTTGAAAAAGCCATTTTTCTTTTTGTGTTGATCTATAGGAAGTTAAAGGAAAGAAGGGGAAGGACATTGGATCGACTAAGAGATCTGGGTTTGTAGCCCCTACATCTATCTGTCTTTTAAATTATGTGTGTTTTAGTTTCTTCTGCTATATGACAATAAAGTTGAAGTAAACCTTTTCTAAGATCCTTTCTTTACAAATGCTTAGCATAAGCCTAGAAGAAACGTATTTAAATGTGTGTGTGTGTGTTCTGTGAATGTAGCATACATTCCAGATCTCAAAGACAGCATGCAGAAAATGTAAGATAAACTCAATAGTAATTTAAAAATATTGATTATATGCTAAAATAGTACTTTTTCAAGTATATTGGTTTAATGAAATATTAAAATTATATTCACTTGTTTCTACATTTTTGTTTCACATGACTAATAGAAAATTTAAAATTTAAAATGACTTGTATATTTATTGATAGCATGGTCTAAAGGTTTGTTGAGATTTAGACTAAATGTTGCATTGTATAAAGATACATTACCTTCATTTGTTCCACTCAATTTGATAAATTCCACAGTCCTCCATGTTAATGATACTGTGTGATCCCTTCTAGGGTGTTCTATTGTAGGAACCTTCACTGAAAGTCACTTCTGGAGGTTTTATTACAGGTGACTTTATTTAAAAAACAAAAAAACAAAAAGACAAAAACCACCTTCAGAACTTTCAATTGTAAAGATAGATTTGAAATACTTTTGGTTTTCTCCAGAGGTAAGATATATGTTTTTTCTTTTGCAATTAGAAATATATGGGTTGATATTTCCACACCTTGGGGATAGCCTGTCCTCAATCATTTTTCTTAATGGTTTTAGTATTCTTTGAAGATGTTTTCTTTAAAATTTATTTATTTTTATTTCATATCTATGAGTGGACTTCCTGTGTGTATGTATATGCACCATGTGCATGCAAAGCCCTCTGGAGGTCAGAAGAAGGTGTTGGATGCCCTGGAAGTGGTATCAGAATTGTTAGCCACCATGTTGGTGCAGGGAACCAAAGCTGAGTCCTCTGCCAGAGCAGCTAGTGCTCCTAACTTCTGAGCCATCTCTCTAGCTTCTAGATGTTTTTTTTTGATAAGTAATTGTTTATGACATCACTCCATTCTTAGTCTCTTTTCCCTCCCTCCCTCCTTCCCTCCCTTCTCCCCTCCCTTCCTCCTTCCCTCTCTGCCCCTCTCTCCTTCTTTTCCTCTTTTCCTTCCTTTCCTTCTTACTCTATAGTCCAGCTTAGCCTGGACTTGCAGCCCTCACTCCTCACCTTCAGAGTGCTGAGATGACAGGTATGCCACCATGCCCAGAATCATCACTTCTCTTTCATAAAAAGTTTGCTTTTTTTCTTTTCCATTTATTTTGAAGTGAAAGAATTACCTGTGTGATGTATGGATTAGTCACTTCACACAATAGGTGATTAAGAAAGTTAGATACAAATAAAAATGTAAAGCACAGAATCATAGCTACCTGTACAATGGTTGTTCATTTTTCAAAGAAGGATTACTATAAATCTTTTTTGTAAAGCTAGCAATTGCCCTTAATTTTTGATTCTTATAACCTGAATTTTCATTTGTTCAACAAATTTGGCATCAGATATGGTAGTAAGCACTTAAACAGATTGGTAAGCAGAAGAAGCATAGATGTCCTTAATGTAGGAATGCATCCTTATGTGTAAGGCAGGGAGAGTTACGCAGGCTCCTGTGACTGATGCCAGTAGCTGTGTCTGAGAGATCTTGATTTGGAAGGTGTTACAAGCTATTGCTAACAAGTCTGGTTAAGTGAATACTTTGAATTTCAGAAGCTTTTTTTTTTTTTTTGGTCTTTTTTGAGACATGGTCTCCCTATAGCTCCAGTTGGCCTGGAACTTACTATGTAGACCAAGCTGGCCTTGAACTCAGAGAAGATCCTCATACATCTCCCAAGTGCTAGGATTAAAGGTATGTGCCACCATGCCTGCTAGAAACTGAGTTTTTCTTTATGGATCTGATGAGAAGATTAAAGTATAGTTTGCTGTTTCTTCCTATTGTTTTTCTAATGTGACATTGAATTGTGATTTCAGATTCTCTACCTCAGTGTACAATTTTGTCTAATTTTTTGTCTTCTAAGGACATTTCCCTATTTAAAGTTTGTCTTTCCTGAGGCATGTCATACTTAGGCCATGCCTAGAGGCATCCTTTGGCTGCTTGTAAGCCCCTGAAAATTCAAAGCCACAGGGGAACTTACCACCCACCAAAGACCTGCTTTGTTCACTGCATCCCATATGCTGAGTGGGAAAGAAGCATTGATCTGCTGGCCTTATCCATGAAGTCCGTGGAAGGACAGGATTTCTAGGTTTTTGTTTGTTTGTTTGTTTGTTTGTTTGTTTTGTTTCGTTTTTTGGTAGCCCCAGCTGGCCTGGAAGTCATGTTGTAGACCAGACTGGCCTGGAACTCACAGAGATTTGTCTGCCACTGCCTCCCGAGTGCTGGGATTAAAGGCTAGTTGTTCTACGTACCTTGGAGGCTTAGGACAAGCTGGCATGGCTCAGCCTGAGACCACCTTCATGGCTAGGTTCAAGTGTGACAACTGGGGTGGAAGGCATTTCTGTCTCTGCTTTTAAAAGCATGTTGATTTATGGGACTTCTCATCTTTCTGGATTAGACCTGTGGAATAGAGATGCAGTAAGCCCTGGTGTTTTTCACCCATAGAGTAGGGCAGAAAACTGCACCTTCTGAGATGGGGCAGATGAGGAGGGAGACATAGCTAAATATTTACTAGTGGTACCTTTTAAGGCAAAGGATTTTTTTCATCAAAGATAAGAAGTCTCTTATTATTTTAAATGCTATGTTTACACTGTATGTTCAGCAGTATCTTCCTTCAGATTAGAAAAAGGGACATGTCATCAGGTATATGCTTGTCTTTAAAAAGATACAATGTCAACTAGACTGCTATGACCTCAGGTTCCAGAATATCAAGGCAACATTCTTTCAAAGACACACTTCACTTTGGCTTGAATCCAGACTTAGAATGGTCATTTGATGGTGAAAGGGAAAGGATAGCCAGATGACAGGAAGAATCTCAGTATGAACTGGTTTGGACGACACTTCTCTGAGCATCCGGAGGAAGCAGTGTCTTTGCTCAACATACACTTACCACTCTTTTCACTCATTTCATCTGAAGATGAGCGTTTCATTTCTAACTTGAGGTGGGAAGTTGGATGTATTTTTCCCCCCAATTTTTCCCCTTTAGTTGTAATATCAAGCCCATCTCTTTGCATAAGGTCTATGGAGAGAGGAAAACTGAGCTTGGGAAAAAAGTGAGTGTTTTCCTGTACCATGTGTACTTGAAAAAAGGACAACTGTGTTTGTGAACTTGGCTGGTGAAAGGACTACTGGCTTGGGTTAAAGGAAGCCTTTTCATTTTTAATTTAAAATGTTGAATTCTGACCAAGTGAAACTTTATTTCTGGTCAGTACCAGTAATTTTCACCCCCTGAGAATAAAAATTCCAGGATTTTGGCTTTAATTAAGAATTTGAAATAAGGAGATGTGAGTACAAGGCACAAAGAATGCTTATTACTGCAAGTTTGATTAAGAAGAGAGTAACATGGGACATTCAGCATTTGATGGGGAAGATGCCTAGCTTCTTAGAAGAGGAGGGCCTTAGAACAGTGAAGTCAGGAAGGAGGGCTTATTTCATCCATTTGATAGTGGTAGTAGGTAGGAGGAGTGGATCAGACTTTGGCCGCAGCCTCCTGCTTCCCACCAGTTAAAGCTTCCCTCTGCCTCTTATGGTCAGAGTTGCTATCCTTCTTGGTTTTCCTAGGACTGTCTTTTTTTTTTTTTTTTTTTTTTTTTTTTTTTTTTGAAACAAAGCAACAAAAGCTCTCCATCTTAGTAAATTCCTTTGCCTAGAAAATTGAGATGGTTGGTCATCCTGACTATATTTTAAAGCATTTGGGTAGCACATTGGATAACTAAAATGGTTGGCCCGGATCTCTCACCTTTCTTTGTTTCTCAGAAAAGCATACAGAATGCCTATGGTATGCACTGGCTCCTGAAGTTAGGATAACAATGGCTGCCATAGAGTGCATGCTTACTATGTACCAAATATGTGATACTGTTGAATGCTTGTAGCAACCAAGGAGCTAGAGTACTTAAAATCCAATTGGGGGCAGGAGAGATGGCTCAGCAGTTAAGCTGTTCTTGCAGAAGACCCAGGTTCAAATCCCAGCACCCATATGGCAGCTAACAACTGTCCGTAACTCCAGTTCTAGGGGATTCAGCAGCCTCTTCTGTCCTCTGAGGGCATTGTACAACATGGGTGCACTCACCTACATGCAAGCAATATGTGCATACACATTAAAAAAAAAATCCAATTGGAGGAGGAAGAGGAGGCCAGAGCTGAGGGCAATAATGGGGTATCTTTCCTAGAGTCAAACAATTAGAATATAGTTGAACCACATTTAAACTTCATTGTGCCTGAATCTTCTCTTTCTACTGTGAATGGACAGCTTCTCTGATTCAACATAGTTCTGTGGACATCAGCTGTACCCATCATTTCCAAACTTGTTCCTGTTCTTCACGGTGACACAGAGTCCCTGATATTATATACAGACAAGCTGCCCAAGAAGCTACAATAATACTTTCATTTCCTATCTATACCAGTCCCTGAATAATCTTTCAACTTTACTTTTTCTTTTTCCTCCCTCCCTCCCTCTTTTTCCTCCCTTCCTTCCTTCCTTCCTTCCTTCCTTCCTTCCTTCCTTCCCCTCCCTCCCTGCCCCCACTCCCTGCCTCCCTGTGTCAAGGCTCGTCTCAAATTCTCTTGCTTTATTCTCCCAAGTGCTGGGATTACAGGTGTACACTATCACACTGTCACATCTTCAGTTCTTAATGTAACTACTAAATGCCTGGCACTTGGCAGGTGCTCCAAGAAGGGCTGGTATTGTTTTTATTTTAATCATGACAGATAAGGAATAAGCTTGAACTGAAATGTCTTAGCTGATATCTATTAGCTACTAGCATTTTATTGTAAAAATCACAAAAAATTGAGGTATTAGAATATATTTCTCATTAAGTTCAAAATTAAGCAAACGTATGCACACACACCACATGGAGAGTAATCTTTTCCCACAGTAAAAGCCATCTTCTTGTTATTTGATTTGGAGTAGATAGAAGAAAGGCTTCCTTGCTGTGATAAAAGGTGTTATGCACATAATTTTAAGGTAGAAGCAGAAAATTCTATTCTAGGGCTGCGAGCTGTAAATGGTTCATTTCAGGGAAAAATCTAATCCAGATGCTCAGCTCTAAGACTCCTACTAAAATCAGAGGTGATTGAAACTCTTAGCATAATGATGGAAGCCCTCACTGGCGGGCATCCCATTGAGAGGGAAGTGTCTTGGATTGTGTGGAGAGATGCCGAAAGCTTTTAGGCTACACTCTGCTTTTATTTCATCAGTTCGCACCTGAGAACTATATCCTTTACTGCAGAATGAAACACAGTTCAAGTTGCATAATTTAGCTTAGAGGAGCTACGTTTGAGAAGGACTCAACACAAGAGACATGTGAATCTATCTGATCCAGTCAGCAAATATTTGTCATCTACCCGGTGGGTTTCAGAGTGCTGTGCTGAATGCTAGACATGCAAAGAAGAACAACATGTGCCCCCTGGCAGCCAGGAGCCCACGGAGGTGGAGAAAATAGGACCAATAGAACAGCAGTTTCTTCAGGGCCAGTTTCAAACAGTCATAGGTAGCTTCATCCGTTTGGGCTGCTGTAACAAAAGACTATAGTGAGTCAGACCAATTTTCTCACAGTTCTGGAAGCTGGAAGTTTGGGATTAGGGGGAGCATGGTTGGGTTTGTGAGGCCTCTCCTGGCTTGCACTGTGCTTACTCGGTTTTCCTCTGTAAGGGCAGAGATACCACTCTTCACCAGTCCTATTGATTCACTGTCCCATTCCTCTGACCTCACTGAACTCTACTCTCTAAAAATCTTATCCTCTGTAGCCACATTGAGGTTTGGGAATCAGCTATGCATGCATGGAACAAATGTAATGCACACATACTGTAATTCTCTCTCCTTTTTCATATATGTACACATACACATCTGAGCAGCAGATGAAAGGGCTTTATAATTCTGTTTTAAAATTATTTGGTTATGAGTAATTAATTAGACACTGGCTGCTGCTTTTCAGCAACCATGCATACTTAGGAGTTTTTGCAAAACGAGAGCTTGAAATTTATTTTCAAATGTAGTAAAACATTTGTGAGTTGGACCAGGAGTGGTGGTATATGCCTTTAATCCCAGTACTCCAGAGACAGAGGCTGTGAGTTCAAACCCAGTCACATAGTGAGACACTTTCTTAAAAAAAAAAGGGTGTAAATCCTTATAAGTGAATATGTATCCAGACATAACTACAGGAACCAGGATAATGAAGATGAACCAGGGAAGTAAAGGAAAAGAAAGAATCTGAAAGAGAAGAACAGTAGAAAACAAGTGTTAACAAGGGAGATATGGATAATGGGTTATTTTAAGGGGAAGGGGGAGGGAAGGTTATACAAGGAACCTAGGGGATAAAGGGAAAGAAGGAGCTCAGAGAGGTGGGACCACAGGTGGGAGAGGGTATTATTAAGGGAGAAATGGAAAAAAACAGGGGCATCTTAAATGGGGAAACCATGGTTGGAAGGGTTAGAAAATGTGAGAGAGAAACAGTGCCTAGCTAGTTTTAGAAAACCAGAGGGAACCATATTAGGTCAACAACCTACTGACAAATTATACATACAACCAACCATTTGGTTTTTGCCCAAGCTCTATCTGCATGGCATATGGTAATTGAAAGTACCAGACTGGTGGAACTAACCTTGGTTGTTGTTTAACAGCCATACTTTGAGGCCTATACTAATTTGGTCAGGGGGACATAAAGGACAGTTTTTGCTCCTTGCCCTCCTAGATTGACTAAGTTCCAGGGGACTATGAGCATCTCTCAAAATGTCCTGTAACTGTGGTGAGTCACCTGTCCTCTTGAGCAAGGAGGCCATGGAGACCCCTCCCAGATGGACCTGAACCAATGTCCAGTCTACAAAGAGGGAGGGTCAACACAGAGGAAACATGTCCTCTATGCTTCCAAGCGAAGCCAGCCATGGTGGAGCAGGACCTTTGAATTATCTTCATATAGATGAACTGGTAAAAGAAAGGAGCCAGGGGCTCCTCCCAAGCCCATGTGACTCCTGAGGAACAAATCCTCAAACAACCTTAAGAGTAAAAATAAATTGTTTTATCTGGGCCAACTGTAGGATCTTAAACACCCAACAGGAAAGTATAACCAAAGATTAATGGGGTCAATATAATTTTTAAGAGTCTATATGTATAGCTAACGGCTAAATAACAAGAAACTATGCCAGACAGGAGATACCTTTGAGTTATTGGCCAGGGTGGCGTAAGTAAGAGACTCCAAGATAGTAACCCAACGTAGAACTGGGAAAATGAACAGCAGACCCCAGTCTTATCTAAAGGAATGTTGACAACTGATTGCTGCTAGATGAGGAACAACTGATCTTCCTAAAACAAGGATCTCTAGACAGGCTGACTAGATTCAGCAGACAAGCACTGGAGAATGACTGAGGGTGTCAACAATACAGAGGACAGTAACAGGGATGACAGAGTATATGGGCTTCAGTATGTGGGAGGGGGGAGGCTATGGGAGGGTGCCACTTGGGAAGTGGGGA